CGGAAGAGTAAACCAGGGACATTCAAGTTAAAGGTCATGTTCCTTTACAAAATTCAAATGCTCATTCAGTTGCTGTAATGTTAGGAAGAAAAAGCCAAGGAAGAGTGCACTGGCATATGTTTTTTAGTTTTTATTTGCTTGAGCTGTCTTCTGTTTTACTCATCTTCACAGCAAGTGAAAGAATTAAGTCCAGAAATTATATCTGAAAGTTTTTAGGGACTGATCTCTTCAACTTTTGAATTAAGCTGTCCTTTGGCTTCTTTTTTTATTATTATTATTTCTTTAGATGTACAGGTATAAGATTCATCTTGTAATCTTACTATGACTGATGTTTGCCTTTTTCTGCATAGTCTAGAATGCTCATGTACTTACGTGCAGTTCTTCACCAGGACTTACACAAAGACTTACTCTTACAGCTATGGTTTTCTCCATGAGTTTTTAGTAATTTTTTTTCATAAGCTAAAGGCCTCTGTTCCAGATGCTGTCTCAGAATTCTGGAAATTTGTAAAATAAGAACTCATTATAAATATATTTAATTGTTTCCGATATTTTTCTTGTTTTATCAAAATATTTTAAGTCAATGACATTTGCATTTAAATGTACTTGATGTCATAGAGTAAAAACATCCTATGCTCAAATTCCTAGCTCACAAATTGGTGGTGCATTCTTCTGTCATGGGTATTTTTGTGTGCTCAGGTTTTTATTCTTGTTTTTCTGCAATGAGAAAAACATTTCTGGAGAGAAAACTTCTAGGTCCTTCATTGACACTATTCATTGTAGTGTAAGTTTGGATTCAAAACTAAATTGTAGGAGAAAGTGCTAACAGAGGACAGAGCCTCAGGTAATTTTTTTTACTTAACAAAAGAAGTTGAAGATACCAATTTGCCTGTATACTTAATTCAAAAAATATTTTTGCATAAATGAAACTTTATACACTGTGAGTAGTTCTCCTGCCTTCAGGTAAATGTCATCTTTTCAGATGTGGACGACCCTGTAACAGCTGTACTGGGGCAGTTTTTGCCTGTTCCAGGTGAACTGGTTCTGAATGAACAAGAGGTATGGAAGCTTTATCCTTTAAACTTGTTAAATACAAGATAGGCTCTTTTTCCTTTTCTTAAGACTGATTGTTAAGTCTATGTTGGGAAGTAAAAATCGTATGCATTTTCTAAAGACAGTTTAGCTAGTTTGGACAGATTAGTTTTGCACTCAGTATACTTTCTGTATATAAAGGTTTCTGCTTTCAACATTTTCTAGAAGTAATACCAGAATTAAAAAGAAAAAACGAACTGTTTTCCATAAAAAAAATAAATTTATTCCAGTTTTGGAACCTTGAATTTGGTATTATATAGATAATGTTATTTTTGAGAACTATTTAAAGACTATTCTGGGACTGAGGAAAGCACAGGCGGTATATCTGGAAATTGGTGCCTAAACATTCTGGAGCAGTAATGTAGACAGGCTTTTAATTCTTTTCTGTCTTTATCCCCAAATAGTAATTTCCTAGATTTCTTCTCTTGCCTTAAATATATTAATTTTCCTCTTTTTTATGGTCAGCTAGATTAATCATCTATTAAAATAACAGTGATTTACAATTATTCACTGCCCCTCCATTACCGGTAATATCAGTGTAATCCTAATTGTTCTTTCCTTGTCTCTCTCTGTAACCAGGCCCTTATTAATCATATGTCCGAAGAGACAACAGATCTGCAGTGTGTTTTTTTGGCCTGTGAGCTGATTCTTTTTTTAAATTTTGCTTAGTCTTGAACTAATTAGATGTCATATTGTAGCTCAACATAATGTAAATGATCAAGTCACTAGCCAATTTCAACTGACTACTGGAATTAAAAGTAACTGAACCTAGAATTATCAGTAAATTGAAAATAGTGTGCCAACACTGCAGCACTGAAAGCTCGTTTTGGTTATTTGCACTGGGAGAAAGGGGATTCCTTTTATACTGAATGGCTTCCAAGAGGAGATGCAAGCTGTTTTTATGACTCTACTTCTATGAGTTTTTGTCAGTAACCTTAGCAATCGAATTATCCCTGAATCATTTTCTTTGTGTTACTACTTCTCTGTTAACTTACAAGAGTATTTTTTAAAAGGTTAACATAAACAAAATATGTGTTTTATCTTGAACAGTTTGAAAATGGACCCTTAGAACCAGTAGCTAGCACTGCCACATTGCATCTAGAATCAAATCTGCACGGGCCAGTAAAAATGACCTCAGATGGGTAAGACACATGAAACTCCTTATATCCATGATGACTTTTGAATTTTAAACTGAATTTTAAACTCCTAGACATTTTCATGTTGCAAAGTTGCTTCTCTCTTGTAACAAGAATGCAGTTCTGTAAGAATGCTTTGCATATATACCTTGGTAATCATGATGCCAGTTGCTGACGGTCAAGACTATGTAGCGTGATTTCAGGTTTTCTTAGGATCAGTGCAGTTGTGCTGTCCATTTGCCTGAAAAACATTTAATTTTCTAAGTTAATTGATATGTTTCCAAATCTAATTAACATGTATTTAGCCTGTATTTCTAACACTAATGGAATTATTTTAATAATATTTAATTGCAGATCATTTTTAAATAAGAGGCAGATGCAACCCCAGTGTGAAAGGTGAGAGAGCTTTCCAGCTGCACAACCATTACCAGGTTGTATGACTAAGGGCAGAGCTGCCCCAAGTAATGACAGCTGGTGGATAGAGGGAGATTACAGGTTGTTTATTCTCTTTTTTTTCATACACTCTGTGAGGCCACACTTATTAAATAGCACCAGTATTGGTGTAAAAAAATAAAATCAGTATTTATTGTTTCAAAACTATAGAATAATTAGATTTCATTGTAGTTGTATTTGTATTTTTTTTGCTAATTTTTTCCCCTTTTTCAACCTGTGTAGCTTACCTTTTGGTCTAGGTGTTACAAAGTCTAAGAAACCATGTAACTGCACAAAATCTCAGTGTCTTAAATTGTAAGTAATAGTTTATCAACATTTAATAAATGCTAATGACAGTGTATAGATGAAAGGACAAACATACAAGAAATGTATTCTTTAAAATGAACAGTACATATGTTTCAAAAATTACTCATCTGATACTGAGTTAGAAAGATCCACAGTGGATGTAAACTGGGGTCACGCAAGCTCAGAATTTGGTACAGAGATGAAGGTGATTGCATATAATCCAAAGCATGAAAAATAAAAAAGAGAAGCTAGAAGAATTGTTCAGAGCATACCTGGAAAATCCTTTGTAGAATGTAAATGCTGTATACTAAAATATATATTTCTCTGTCTTGCTGCTACTTTCATACATAAATAATATGCAAGAGATGTATACACAATAATTCAAGTTTGATTCATTGATGGACTGGGTGTGTTTTACAAAATATAAAATTGGAAGAGAGAGAAGCTCCTTGTCTAGGTTTGAATATGATTAAATTATAGAGAAAGGAACGTTTTTCATGAGTAGAAACTGAAGGTTCTGCCTAGAAGTAGAATTTAAATTCTAAAATTTACACTTAAACCAGTTAATCTTTTAATTTCTTATGTTATTTTCCATGTTAATCATAGATATTGTGATTGCTTTGCCAATGGTGATTTTTGCAACAACTGCAACTGCAATAATTGTTACAACAATCAACTTCATGAAACTGAGCGATTTAAAGCCATTAAGGTAAAAAAAACAAAAGAAAAAAAGTACAGTGCACATTGGTATCAGCTTAATGTATGAAAAATATAGCAGAATTGTTTTTTCATTTAGTTACAGTATTTGAAATATGCTATTTTTAACCTAAATAAAGCTAAGTGTTGCCTCTGTATTATTCTTACATAAAGAAACTTAGGGATTTCTTCCCCTCCTTTTATAAAACTTCTGATACTTTAGAATAAAACTAGTGATGTGTTAACTGAATGATAATTTTTATTCTTGGAAGGAAGTATTCAACCCCAATTTAATTTCAGAATTTTTTTTCACTTGAAGGAAAATCTACTGTATCCCGAAGTCAGATAGTAATTAAAGGAAAACAGATTATTACTGTCCAAATTATTATTCTCATTGACAGTTCCTCTGCAGTTGTCTGTGTTAGTCTTCCTGGTTGACCCATGCAGCAATGCAAAGTTGGCTCTCCTGGCAGTGACACTGAATCCTGCACTGTTGAGAAGCAGGTTGCTTCTACATTTGAGGACTGATTTTATTAGTGGAATAAAGAATATTATGTGGGCTATTTTTTGTGTGTATATCAAACTGCACAATCTGGGCAATAATTTAATCTAATATGTATGTTATGTTTTCTAAGTTTTAAAGTGATAATGAAAAGTCTTATTCTACTGCTGATGCTTTAAGGATATATTAATGGCTTTGTGCTTCTCGTATGCAACTCTCCAGAACTCTTTCTGTATTGTTGGCATCATTTTGGGATTGTACAAGACATTGATCTAATTAGAGTTAGAGCTTTGCCACATCCAACCAGTCAAAGCCACATCAGTTTTTGCTGTCAATGTACAACAACTAGTTTTCAAATCAGATGCTCATCTGTAGTTCAGCTGATGGGGTTGTTGTTGTCTAAGCACTCCTTTCACTGCTGTAGGTGGCATCTTGTAAAGCATAATAGATCTTGCTTGTCACTGATGAAACACATACACTGGTCTTATATGTCACTGATGGCATACCTGTGCCATCCATAAATATTGTACATAAAGGGCATATAACTTGTTTAAACCTGCCTTTTAGTAGTCCATGGCATTGTGAGGTCTTGCGACCTAACTGAAACCTGCTGTTCCAATCCAATGCTGATTTCAGTGAATGGTCTTTGCATTAGGCCATTAATAAAACAAGATGTGTTTAAAACTTCTGAGATGTATGTTACTATGTATGCAAGTGTTCTTTCTTCACT